TCCATCAACCGGGACGACTACGAGCTGCAGGAGGTGATCGGGAGTGGAGCAACTGCTGTGATCCAAGCAGCTTATTGTGCCTCCAAAAAGGAGAGAGTGGCAATCAAACGGATAAACTTTGAGAAGTGTCAGAAAAGCATGGATGAACTCCTGAAATTCAAGAAGAAATTCAAGCCATGAGTCAATGCCATCACCCTAATATTGTGTCTTACTACACGTCTTCTGTGGTAAAGGATGAACTGTGGCTGGTCATGAAGCTGCTGAGTGGAGGGTGTGGTCTGGATATTAAGTATATTGTGGGAAAAGGGGAGCATAAAAATGGAGTCCTGGATGAACCTACCATTGCTACAATCCTCCAAGAAGTCTTAGACGGATTGGAATACCTACATAAGAACGAGCAGATTCCCAGAGATGTGAAAGCCGGAAACATTCTTCTAGGAGAAGATGGCTCTGTACAGATTGCAGATTTTGGTGTTAGTGCTTTTCTAGCGACTGGTGGTGATATTACTAGAAATAAAGTGAGGAAAACGTTTGTTGGCACCCCTTGCTGGATGGCACCTGAAGTTATGGAGCAGGTTCGAGGTTATGATTTTAAAGCTGACATCTGGAATTTTGCCATCACGGCGATTGAACTGGCCACAGGGGCAGCTCCTTATCATAAATATCCACCAATGAAGGTATTAAAGCTGACACTCCAGAACGATCCTCCGTCTTTGGAAATTGGTGTTCAAGATAAAAAATGCTGAAAAGGTATGGAAAATCATTTAGAAAAATGATTTCACTGTGCCTTCAAAAGGATCCAGAAAAAAGACCAATGGCAGCAGAACTGTTGCGGCACAAGTTTTTCCAGAAAGCAAAGAATAAAAAATTTCTTCAAGAAAAAATATTGCAGAGAGCACCTACCATTTCTGAAAGATCTAAAAAGGTTCGGAGAGTACCATGCTCCAGTGGCCGTCTCCATAAGACAGAGGATGGAGGCTGGGAGTGGAGTGACAATGAATTTGATGAGGAAAGTGAGGAAGGGAGAGCAGCAATTTCACAACTCAAGTCTCCCCGAGTGAAAGACTCACTGTCCAATTCTGAGCTCTTCTCAGCAGGCGACTCCATGGGCACTTTGCTCCAAGTTCCCGAACAAATTTTTGCTCATCTACCTCAGCCAGCTGTCCAGATGCCTACACAGCCTGCTCAAGTATCTCTCCTGCCCCCTGCAGAGCCAGCAAAAACAGCACAGGCTCAGTCTCCAGCAGACCACTCCACGGAGACCAAGGTCCCTATCAGTCTCATGCTGAGGTTAAGAAATTCCAAAAAGAACTAAATGATAATTCGATTTGAATTTACTCCTGGGAGAGACACCGAGGAGGGGGTCTCTCAAGAGCTCATTTCTGCTGGCCTGGTTGATGAAAGGGATTTAGTAATAGTGGCAGCTAATTTGCAGAAAATTGTGGAGGGACCTCAGTCAAATCGATCTGTCACTTTCAAACTGGCATCTGGTGTTGAAGGTTCGGGTATTCCTGATGTTGACAAACTAATAGGATTTGCCCAGCTCAGGATCAGCTAAACCACAGCCCTGGAAGAGTCAGCCTAAGGAGGTGCCACACATGGATATCTGTTGCTTCTGTTGGCCTGAACCTACAACTGCCAAAGAGCCCAGCAACAAACTTCCTGGCTTGGAGCTTTAGACCTTTATTTATATTCTTCTCGCCATCACCCCCACCCTTTCCACAAGGAAAGAGAAGTTGGATCGCCAGTGGCCAGCATCCCCTCAGAGAGTTCCGTTAGTAGATATGCTGCTCATGCCCCCTCTTCCTCCATCTGAGAAGCAGCTGGTGTGCCTCAGGGCCCAGGATGGAAATCTCTCAGCTTACTCTTGCCTTACTACACAGTGGCCGAGCGGGCAGTAACAGCTGCATTGGCCATCCTCATCTTGCCTGCTCTCCGTACCTGCTGGGGCCTGAGCATCTTGGGGTATCTCTTTAACACTGAAGTAGCAATTAAAAGTTGATTGTTCAGCTGGAGTCCAGAGAATTTAATTAGTGTCTTTTCTTTGTACCTGATGCAACTTCTAGCAACCTTTGTTAGGAAAAAGCACAGCCTCGGTGGAGGCAGCCTAAGCTCTTGTCTGTTGTGTTCATGGTGTCTCTCCGTGTTCTGCTGGAGCTGTTCTCAGGCACCCCTTCTTTGCTCCCTCCAGAAAGGGTTGCTAGCCTTAACTTCAGCTGGTGCAAAACATCTGACAGCAGTCAGACTTCAGCCATCTGCTCCTTCACAGTGGAACTTTGAATTGTTTTTACAGGAACATCAAGCAATGGCGTATAACTCTTAACTTGCCACGGGTAGTTTTTGAACAAGGAAAGGAACTCCTAAGTCATATCATTGGGAAAGTACTTTCAGCTTTTAAAAAATTGAACTAAAGGAAAACTAATCCTTGATTGTCCGAGGAAGACGCATTTGCCTTACAGGGCTGAGACTGACAGCAGTAAAGGAGACTCAGGAAGGGCTAGAGGCCTGCCTTCTGCTCCT